AATTAAAGAACATGTGCATCAAGGTTCAATAATACATACAGACAAATAGAAAGCATATAGTTGTGTTAAAAAATTGGGTTTTAAACATTGTGTAGTAAATTATTTAAAAAATTGGATTGAATAAAGCACAGATGTATATACAAATCATATAAAGGGTTTATAGTACAGAATTAAATTAAATATAGCTTTAAGAAATAGAAACAAAAATATTCTTAAAAATTATTTGTTAGAATTTGCTTGGCAAAGAAAACATAAAAACAATTTATAGAATGCATTTTTTAAAAGCTTTTAAATTATATAAATATTAAATATTAACTTTAACAAACCTGAGCAGTAAAAAAAAAGTTAAATGCATTGCAATATACTTTTTTTTAGTATTACTGCCCAGATTTGTTAAATAACAATAATAAATATACTATAATAAAAACAAGTAGTACCAAGTATTGGCTAATCATATTTATTTAAAATTACATATTTTTAATTAACTAATTAGAATAATTAACTTCAACTTAGCCAACTAAACTGATTTTTAAATATTAGTTAAGTAGAGTTAATAAATTCAAATTAACTACAAATACTATTGTTATGATTCAAAATAGAATCACTATTAATATGTACAAAATTAGATTAGTAATATAGCATATATAGTATATATAGCATATATAGATATATAGCATATATAGCATATATAGAATATATAATGTATATAGAGTATATAGCAGATAGGAAAAAAGTATATAAGTAATGCACTTAAAACATAAAGAACATAGTAGAACAAATAGAACATAATAAAGAATATCTATCTAAAACACTTATTAAATTTAATACCTCTTTTGAATATAGTAATATTCTACATTATGTGAACAATCTATTAGCTACTCTATGAATAGGAAATTCTAGAATAGTTTCATTCTGTATCATTACATTATTTAAATCTATTTATATTATTTTTAAAATTATATTGTAAACTATTTTGTTATAAAAAGTAAATAATAATATTTAAATCTTTATTATAAAAATTATTTTTTATTATTTTTTAAACTAATTTAAAAACTTAGACCAATATACTAATTTATATTTGTAATAAATTATTATTTTTACTAATTAAATACTTTATTAAATAAATTATTAAATTAAATAAAAGTAAAAAATAATTTATTAAGATGTGATAACAGTAAAATAAATAAGTTATTAACTTTTCAAATAATAGGTTAAATATTTAAAACTCATTAATAATAAAAATTTAAATAATTACTTATATAATATTTATATTATAATAATAGTTTTTAATAATTATATTAAAATATCTGTAATTGTGATCATATTAATATAACTAACAGATTATGAAATATTTGTATAACTAGTTATACAGAAGAATGCAAACCAACATCAAGTGATGCAAACTTTAAATAAGTTTTTTGTGAATATATAAATTATAGAAATTAAAAAATAAAAAGTTAGAAGTATAATGATCTAGTGAAGTGAATAGGTTGTTAACTCTCAAGTGGCAGGTCTAAAGTTCAAATCTTAGTGATAATAAAAATTTGCAATTTTTTCTGTATTATAATTAACTGTCATTCATGATTGGTTAGAATTAGATGTCATACTAGTATAACTAGAAGGTCTAGTCATTTGTACAACATTGTATGAAGAAACCCAAACCAGTACTAGGTGGTATGAACTCATGATAAGTTCTTAGGCTATGTAAATTACAGAAACCAGATAGGAAAATAAAAGCTTACTTGAAAGATCCAAGTAAAGAGATAGCCTAAATCTTTGATGATGCTACTATAAAGACTAGATTTATAAAATAGAGCTAAAACTTATAAAACTAGGCAAAAAGCTGGCCTATAGCAATAGGCCAAATAGAACCAACCAGGCCATCAGAATTTGTTTTAGAGAAAAAGATTACATGCCAGAGAATATATAAATCAAAAATATATAATTACAACCTGCCTTTCTAAGCTATCCGGTTTGAAAGCTTAATAGAACTTAAATTAAATACCAAAGTAATAGAAATATATTGTGAAGTTAGTATCAGAGTTGGAATAAACTCTACAAGAGTATAGTAGTTTAATAGTATGTTCTGAATCCTAGTGTTGGTTTTAGTCATAGTAATACTGAGTCAGTTGTAAGAATAAGATACAGAAGATTCTAGAAGGTTTAGTACAAAATCAAAAGTTCTCTATGTGAATGAACTGTTTTAAAGACTTAGAGATTATACATATTTTTACTAGTATCAGCTAGGATCATTGGTAGACAGAAGTAAGTAGATGAATATAAAAACTAAAGTAATTAAATAGAAAATTTACAAGCAGGTTTCAGGTATGATAGCTAGTATAAAACCTTCAGATAGACTATTTAAATTAAACAATAACTAAAGTTGTATAAGTAGCTAGATGTACACATTTTTTATAGTTGTCTTTTGTGTTTGTAAAACATCTATTAGTCAAATATACTATCAATAAAATCCTAGGTCACAAGTACTTACTTTAATATTTAAAAAAAATAAAAAGTTTATTTAAAAAGACTCAAGCAAAAAAGTAATACAGATTTTTAATAAATTATTATAAAAACTAATCTTATAAATAAATACTAATATAAAATAACTAAATAAACAAAAATCTTTGGATAGAAGATATTACCAGCCAGATTGCTAAAATTAAACAATAAAAAAAGATATTAAGCTAATCTGAATACTAATAAACTAATTATAGTTTTATTAAATTATTCAGATTAAGAGTCTAGAAATAATATAAGAATATATTAAAATATTTTAAATATACTATAAAGTAATACTAAGGTTCAAATAAACTTTGTAAAAACATATCAATTTTAATAATTAACTCTGACTACAAGTATTAATTTTGCTATAATGATATTAGATTAACTGTAAAATAAATATAAAAAATTTTAAAAAATTTATTTTGAGAATAAAATAATCTTAAAATTAAAATAATAACTTAAGTATACCCTAGTAATATTAATATAAGTTACAGATTCAAAAAGTTTAAATAGAACATTCAAGCAGAAGTATTAGATATAACAATTGCTAAGAAATCTTTAAATAAACTTTTTAAATAAATAATATAAAAAGTTATACATATAACTAATTGTATATTCTTTTTGTAGTAGTTCTTATAAAATACATTACAAAAAAAATATTAATAAAAGTCAAAAAACCAAAAAGGTTATCTTAAAAAAAATTAAATAATTTATTATAAGAACTAATATGTTGATTTAAGTTTGTCTAAATTAGTTTAATTAAAAATATTAAAAATATTAAAAATAATTTTTATAACAAAAATTCTATTTAATCAACATCTTGAATTACAAAAATGAATTATTTAAACAATCAGATTTATATTATTTTTTTGAATTTTTATTATTTCAATATAGAATCTGAGAGAATAACAATTTTAGTATAATGATTAGATTGTCATTCTTTAAGTAGCAGGTCTAAAGTTCAAATCTTATTTATAATGAAATTTAAAAATTATATATTGTTATGGTAACTGTCTTCTGTCAATCAATTGGCCTCATATAGTTGTAAATCAGATATATTAAGTCAGATCTTACTAATATTAGAAGCTTGGAATATCTATATGAAGTATAACATTATATATATATATAGAGAAATATATAATTGATATTGTATAAAACTTTAGTACAAACCCATAATAAGACCATTGAGCATAGAAGACTAAAGAACTAAAGTGACAGAAATCTATTTGAAAATTCTTAAATAAAGAGATAGTATAAATTTTTAACAATAGTATTAAACTGGTTGAAGTTTACAAAACATCTTCATAAGAACTGAAATTTAAAACTAAATAACAAATATATGTAAAGAAATATATAACCAACCAGACTACTGGACTTATTAAAGAAAAAAGATACAGAAGTATATTATATTGAATCATCTGAATTGATAGTCTAAAATGAGACTAACTGTTCTAAATTGTAACTAGTAAGAAATAATGAAGAAAATGTCAGAAAGATAGGTACTAAGGTTCTAGTAAACTTTACAAGAATAAAAATAGTATAATGTAATGGTTAAATAGATAACCCTTATAATTGCAAGTATTAGGTAACTATAACATATTACATAAAATTAAATCAGTATATGTAAAACATAAAGATTCTAATAAGTTTTTTATCAAGAATAAAGTAGTTCTGAGAGTACTAATCAATATTAGAAACTTGAATGGATGTAATCTTGAAGATGTTTTCATGATATAAGAAGGATTGTATATGCATAGGCAAGACTTCTAGTTGACTTGCAAGTATGACATCTAGTATAGAACTTATATAGTAATGTATAAATAAACTACTTAAATTAAGCACCAAAAAATGCACGTATGGCTAGTTGTAACTCCAATGTAAGGTAGCCCCTGGCGGCATGCCGTGTCCTATATACTTGAATAAAAATGTTGCATCCCGAAGATAGAGACTTTAACATTAAAAAAAATATATATATAGAATTTGGCTCTAGATCAATAAAACACATACTACGATCTTCGCAGATCCTCGATTTTGATTGGCTAACGGCTGTTGATTTTTAAAATTTTGGTTCGCATTACATAATTGTTTACTAATTTCTGGTCGGAATAATTTTTTTATCCAAAAAATAGAAATAGATCCACATTTAATAGGCGGCTGTGATTTCATTAGTAAAATTTTGAGTAATTCCGGCCAAAATTTGATCGTCGCTCTTAGCCAATCAAAATCGAGAATCTGCTGTTGCTGAAAACGGCTGAAGCTGAAATTTGGGGTCTCAATTTAAAAATGAGCCTTGCTACAATCCATTAATTATCAATTCTATAAACGATAAATGATTGATTAGCAATCGTCAGCTAAAAATAGATGGAGACAGATTGACTAGTAGTATGTAAAACTAAACTAAAAATAGGTGCGGACATAAACACAAAAAATCTGGTCTATGAGTGCAAGACGTCAACTATGTTCATAATTTAATCTTTCGTTAATCGTATATTTCAATGGATCGCCCAAATAGAAGACAACAATTAAATAAATTAAGACAAAAAGAAATTTTGGATGAGCTTCGGCAAAAGCGGAATAAATTGAATGAAAAACGACATATAGAACCAGAAGAAGGTGAGGAAGACATCGTTAAATCAAACACTTTAATAAAAAGAGCTTCAGGAAAGCGTCGCAAAGGTGAACCGGAATCTTCGAGTGACAAAGCTTGTAATGGACTTCCAGTCAAAGTAGAAGGAAAAAAGTTATTTAACCTCATTCGGCATTCACGGGAAATTGTAGATTCTATGAATTGCCGAGAAGCAAGATTTTATATAAAATATTTCGCTGAGGATGACGATGAAATTAGTGAAATAAGTTTAATGTATCCAGGATGGGAAGGACTTGAATCATTTGCACTTGCTACACTTTCCAGAAACAAAGACAAAGACAATGAATACCTTCCGATGAAAGACTTGAAATCTACAGTCAACCTAATAATTGATCACGTATTAGCGGATGATATTTCTGAAATGTTTAAGACTTCTCTAAAAAACCAATCAGTACAACTTACCATAAACAATTCGATTAAAAACCGCCTGCTCGACGAGTTACATGATGGCATACAAAGATACAACAAAATCATAATGGACATTCGCAAAAATTCGAGAAAGTTATGGTCGAAATATATTATTGAGAGAAACACAGCCGAGCCTCAATACATTCAAATAGTAAATCACGTGATAGGACAAACTTATGACCGAATTATCGGTCCTCGCGTGGAGCGACTAACAAATATTACTTCTAATCTTGACTTAAATTATGGGGAACTTAATGCAGACTTTATACATGACATTATCGTCAAGACAAAAATTAAAAATAGTACCATTTTTGTTGATTTGGGTAGTGGCATAGGAAACACGATTTTGTATGCAAGCATTGCCACTGGATGCACTGGATATGGGTATGAGTTGCAGCAAAAGCTTGTTGATCTTGCCAACGAGCAATTTAAGGAGATTATGACCCGAGGAAAATTATATGGATTAGAAATAGGTCGAGTTGAATTTTTATCGGGTGACTTTAAAGATATTTATATCAACCATCCAGGTTTTATTAATATTTTATACTCTGCGGATGTTATTTTGGCTAATAACCGGACCTTTTCACCGGAGACAAACCAATTTTTGTATAATCTTTTTCTCGGCCTAAAAAAAGGTGCTAAAGTCGTATCCTTAGAGTCTTTCGAGGGGTTTGAGCCTCGTGGAAAACAAAGTGAACGCGTATTCTCTAATATTAAGTCATTTAGATATAAAGAGAATTGGGTTTCGTGGACTCATAGTGACGGAAAATTTTACATTGCTACACATGTTTAAATTTCTGATTTGAAAATGATCTCGATTCGATTAAACGATTTCGATTAGATTATTATTATTATTTACATAATTATTTCTGAGAAATTTATTGGAATGTAGTATAATCTATATATCTAATGAAATTTGACAAAGAATATCGAGACAATTCATTGTGTGGTTGTCAATAGTCAATATCGACGTGTTAACTTATTCGTTTGTAATAATCTATGATCTATTATTATTCGAAAATCTTGGAAACAACAATTTGGTACGTATAGTTTCGTTTCACATGACAATTAATTGGTGGTAAAGATTAACCCCGGTTGGCAATTACATTCATTTTCTAAATATAGAGGTTTTAAGTGAAAATTCCGATTGTATAAATTATAACTTTCCGGATTATATACAGAAAGCAAATAGATTCAGTTTTGATTGTGAATAAGCATTACGTTATTTTGTTCTATCTACCGTTTAGCACTGCATAAAGTATCCCCAAAAATAATACCCCCTTGATTAGGACCCAGGTATTATTCACCACCCATCTGAATAGTACCCGGGGGTAGGGATAGGAATCGGCTATATGATTTAGTCGACTAAACATAGTAATTTACATATAAATTTTTTAATCGACTAAATCCCTACCCAGGGGTATAACTATATTTAATTTATATGATATATCCTCATATATATTGCCCGGTTCCTCACACAGTACCCACGGGTACTATTCAGTTTAAAAAATAGTGTTATTGAATAAGGCCCCGGGTCTGTATGCAGTTCTAAACGGTAAATTTAATAAATTGGTTAATTATGATTGGCCTTTAAGAGGGACGTAACTACCGTATTTCGCGGGCCAAACCACCCCCCTTGTAAAATAATTACCGGATAATATGGATATTTCGATGGTGCATGCGGATGCATAATATATTTATTATACTGTATTATGTATAACCTTGTCTATTACCAGCGATTGTTTTCTATACAAGCCATTAATTTGATATGCACCATGGAAATATCCATATGATCCGACAGGGGTGTGGTTTGGCCCGCGAAATACGGTATTTACCGATAATGGCATAGTTAGGACTTCAGAAAATTATGGATGCCAATATTATCTGACTAAAGTCAGCCATCTTGCGCCATCAAATTATTACAAGTAGTTGGGTTGGGCACGGGTTCATGGATGCCCCAGGCAATGTCGTACATTTTGATTGTTACTAACTTTTTTGGCATTGTTCGCCCGACTTATCCTCAATTTTTTGCTTGAAAGTCTTATTAAAAAAAAAAAGGGTGGAGGATGATAAAGCTCTTAGGTTCAAGACTCCAGAACCTGGCATTGGGAACTAATTTACAATGACTAATTTTAGAGCTTAGATCTATAGGTTTATAAGTCCCATTACATGAAAAAATGTTTCTGTGACTTCGATTGGCGGATAATTTGATATATTTAAGAGCCAGTTATGCCTTAATCGGGTAACCAAATCGAACCGGATCAACCGGCTGAATAAAATGCTGAATCGATATACAGTCAGACCCTTTCTAAACGCAGTCTGTCGGGACCAGCTCTAAAGTGTACATTTGGGAAGGTTGTGATTAGAAAATAACCAATAATATTGCAGTATTATGGTATTCTATTATTAATACATAAGGGTAGGATCTGCAAATTTCCAATTTTGCGGTCCGCTTGGCCCGCAGTTGTAAATTTTACTATTAAGCCCGGGCCGCCCTTGCCCACAGTTGTTTTCATAAATTTTGAAAATTACCAAATGACCAAATCGATAAATTTCTAAGTTTGGCCAAAGTCAGTTACTTATTGATTCCGACTCGGTAAGATATCGATTAAGTTATTAGCAATTTTTTCAGTTTTAGAATTTATATGAAAACTAAAATTTTGTTTCAGTTAATCTGATTTGTAAAAATTTGTAAACTGGGTTAGGTTAAACCATAGGGCTTAATGCGAAGGGGGTTTTTTTTTTAATATTAAAGGTGGGGCCTTAATGCGGGTTTTTATATAAGGGCAGTGACAAATATTATATAATATTTGTTATTATGTTAATTAATTTTATTTTTTGATTAAGCAAATATTATTTAAATTTTTAATAAAATTATAAAGAAAAAGATATAATAATTTAATATAGTTAATAATTATAAAGTTTAAATTTTATTAACAATATTTTCAAAAAATTTACTTGCATTAAAGTATATTGTTTATTTATATAGTTATATTAAAACATTTATAATTTTAATTATATAAAAGTTTAAATATATTTATATAATATATATTATATAAAAAAATACAAACTAGTATTAGAGTTTATATTGTTACAAAGTAAACGCTTAATATAGTATAGTATAGTATAGTATATTATTAGTAGTTGTTATATATATATATATTTGCTTTTACTAAAATTGATATTAATAGTTACTGTTTTTATTATATTTTTAATTATATATACATAATTTGTACAAGATAAATATGCAATTAACTATACATATAACTTATAATTATTTATTTAAGTAATTCACTGGCAGGTTCTATATTAGTTGTCATACTTATAATCAGTTAAAAGATTACTTAATTAAATATTTTGATTTTTATATTGCATTTAACTAATAGTATACTAGTTTTTGTACATTTAAGTGCTATCTAACTCAACTTTAAGCTTTCTTTTTTGTATAACTGTTAAGCTATTATTTCTTCAGAGAACATCTTTAATTATAAAGTTCAAAATGCTTATCTGTTAACTAACTTATTCACTTAATAAATTATTAACAAAGTTATATTCTTAAAAAATTTATCTAAACCTTAGTATTAACTTTATAATATATTTTTATTATTTTTAGTATATCTTTATTTTGTTTTTAAACTTCTAATACAGATAACTTAATAGGATTGTAACCTGTTCTTGTTATATTAAGTTCAGTCTAATATTTTTTTTTTTAGTTTAAATTTTAGCAGTCTGATTAGTAATATTTTTTACTTAGAGATTTTTTTCTATTAAATTTTTTCATATTAGTATTTGTTTCGTGGATTTAATTTTTACAATAATATTATCAAAAATCTGTATTATTTTTTTATTTAGGTTTTCTTAAATAGACTTATATATTTTTAATTTTACTAATTTATATAACTTAGACAATACCAACATCTCTGTACCCAACTTGTGGGGTACTTGCTTGGAAGAATAATCAACGGATTGTGCAAATAAGTCCTAATTGGGATCCAAGAAAAAGAATTTAATTAGGAGAGTAGTCTGGAAGTAACCAAGACTGGAATAGTGAGAGAAGCGGTGAACATGAGGACGGGTTGTAGAAAAGGATTAGCCTTATCAAGATTGGAAGCACCTCTGGCGTTGTGGAACATCCTGATATTGAAGATAGCAAATGTATAGAGGAAGTAACCTGTTCTGTATGTCTAAAGGTACCAAGCCGGAGCTCTGGTCACACCTATATGGAAGTCTATGACGATATAAG